TGGACAAGTCACTGCAATTTGTGCCTCAGTTTCACCCCAAACTTGACCCTTAGTACGAAGTGTTATGAAGCACCTCCCAAGGTGTGTGTGAGCTGCAGACACCCTCCTCCAGCCTGTCCCTTCCTATGTAGGAGTGCCCCACGCTCACCCAAACCACCTGGACATGCCATTGTCAGAGGTGGCTAAAAGGGCAGAAGCTCACGAGCCACTTCAGAGCACTTAGTTCCAATTTTTTATTGGATTACAAAATGACTGAAGCTTCCCTTCTGACATCTACGCACACATTCAGCAAAAATAAAAATGCGTGAGGAAGCTTTGAGAGTTAATAGCCCACTTTCTGCTATTTCTATGCACCCAACTGCAAAACAAAATGCACGGGATCACAACAGACACTGTTGCCATCCCAAGGACAGTTACATCCTTGCTCCATTAACAGCTGCTGCTATGCAAAGCAACATTGGCATCAGCTTTGCTTCCCACCTTTTACAGTACTGCATTCCCATTCGCATTAAACACAAAGCACCCAAGAACACAGCATGGATCTGCTAATTGCGTCGCAGGAACTTTGCTTTGTCATCAACAACATTCAAACGCTGCATCCTTCAACTGGTCATCACATTTTGCGCCACCTCTCACAGGCACACCAAATGCCATTCCCAGGGTCCTGAGCCAAATTCCTACTTCCTCAGCTTCTGCTCTTTGACTTACCCAGTTGCTCTGTGGCCCTTACAAAGCCAGCCTGAACTAGATTTAAGTAGGAACTGGAAACAGCTCAAGTTGTTCTGGGTGTGAATAAATCCCACAGTCACATTTTAAACGCCCCTCCCCGTTGCTCATCCAAAGATGGATACAACCTTGTTTGGGCCAGAGTAACCTCCCAAGTGTAAATGGATTCTAGACCAGCAAAGTTTAGAGGTAGAAACCTTATAGCAGGAGTAAGGAGGGTCACCTATTTGAGCCGCTCACAGTTTCACTCTCAGCACAGCAATATTGCTAGGGGAGACACTGATTTTGGTGTCCATCGAACACAAAAGTTGTAATCTTCCTTACAGCGAGCCAACACCCTGTGCCCATTCTCTTAGAGATGTAAGCAGCCATTTCGAAGGGTATGGCTTGTGAGAGTGCGTTTTAAATCCTCCTGTTCTTAGTCCACCTCTGGCTCTTTTTTAAACAATTATTTCTGAATGCTTGGCATGAAACGGGCCTGTTTGCCTGCCTATCGAAGCGCACTGCGTTCTTTTTCAGGGTGGCACAGGGACTCACTGAAGCAGAATCACAGAATTGTTTTGGTTGGAAAAGCCCTTTAAGCTCACCCAGCCCAACTGTTCCCCTAACCCTGCCATCCCACCACTAAACCCTGGCGCTAAGCACCGCGCCTGCCCAGCTTTTAAATACCCCCAGGGGTGGGGACTCGACACCTCACGCCGGCGGCCAGCCCCATCCAGTGCCTGACAGCCGTTGCGGGGAAGGAATTTTCCCCAATGTCCAACCTAAACCTGCCCTGGCACAACTTGAGGCTGTTTCCCCTCTTCCCGTCGCCCATTCCCTGTGAGCAGAGACCAATTGCCCCCTCGGTCCCCCCTCCTGTCAGGCAGTTGTAGGCAGCGATAAGGGCTCCCCTCAGCCTCCTCTGCTCCAGGCTGAACACCCCAGCTCCCCCAGACGCTCCCCAGCAGCCTTGGGCTCCAGACGCCTCCCCAGCTCCGTTGCCCTTCTCTGGACACGCTCCAGCCCCTCCATGTCCTTCTGGGAGTGAACCACTTGCATGGACTCCCAACAGTAGCATTCCCAGCTTCTGAGAATCACGTGTTGTGGATGTAAGGGCCAAGGTACACCCTTCTGGGCCTCAGCATCAGAGGCAGGTGGCTTCTCTATTCATTGCCCCCTTCACTGGCTCTGGGGACAACCAAATCGCCATCCTTGCCAGCTGCATGCTGACTGCAGCCCCCAAGTCCTAGAGCATGGCCTCATTTTGTGCTTCAGGCCTGGAGTCAGTCACCTGCCCAGGTCAGGAACAATCGCAAATGTGATTGCAAATGCAGCTTGCTTCCTCACCTGTCCATGTGCATTGGGGATTTGTTCTCTTCCCCATCACAGCACTGAGCTAGAAGCCAAAAAAGCATGGAAGAAACCACACTTCTGAGCAGGGAAAAAACAGAATTCCCTTTTATAATCTCCTGACACAGGCAGTCAAGGAGATGAAGTTCAAAGCACACAAACGTTGGGTGACCCAGGCTAGGAATGGACTCCAAGTACAGCCCCAGAGTATACGTTTCACCTTTTTTTTTTTGGTTTTTAGCAGTAGTGTTGATTTCTCTTTCACAATTTGCTATAGGACACCAACATTTGAAGTCAATCCTGCGCTCCACGTTTGACGAGAAGGCACATTTCTCCTCTGCCTTTTTAAGAACACATTTATATTGGCTTTACCAAATGCAGAAAAGGTCAGGATGCCCCACACTAGAGCATGCCCCTGAGAAGATGGCACCAGTGGGGTTAAAAAACAAGGTATGAGCAGCGCCAGATGACTTTGCCATCGACTACGGCCACTACTACAAGCCAGTGCAAAGCCCGCGCAAAATGCAGCAAGCACACAAGCACTCTACAGCCTTTCGCTCTTCTGTGATGGAAGCTTGAGACATTTATCCAAACGATGCTTTTGTTAACAGCTACAAGGGATCTCAGAAGTGATCACACTTGCAATCACAAATATGCAGCATGCTGAGTCTCTTCTACTCCTACAAAACATAGTGCTGGCAGAGCCAGAGGGATGACAATGTTTGGGTTTTGTTGGTGGGTTCTTTAGAGTTACTGCAAGCCCAACAGCACCGGCTCGGAATCTGGCACTCCTGGAACCCTACAAGCTTTCCAGAGCAACAAACCCAGAAGGAGGCAAGTCGTGCCAAGGAATTCCTACTTCATTCGCACAGGGCCGATTCCCTTTTGCACAGCAGCCAAGGGCTCCAGCCACGGAAATCTGATATTGAAAGATGTTGCAGGCAAGTTAGTTAAACCCAGCCTAGGCCCTCCCTGCACATAATTCATGAATAAAGATGACTTCAAACATAACCACTGTCATAACAACCGCATCTAAGAAGGCTAAGAATATAGTTGGTAAAAGCCATCGCTGCTCATCGTTACCCAAGACTGGAGCGCTACTGGCTCCTGAAGGCCAAGAAGTGCTCAGGCTGGCACTGGCAATCTGTTCTAGAAACAAGTTGTTACCAGTGTGTGCAGGTTGTGATGGTTAACATCTTGCTGTCACCGCAAAGGCAGAACATTGGACATATGCAGATGTACCTGTTAACCTACGGGGCTGCAAGCTCACATCTTGTTCGGAGGAGCACACATGTTTTACTGAAGACCCCTGGAGGCACATCAAAGAGGAACGGTTCCCCACGAAGTCTGACCTACTCCATGATCAGCATAAATAAAAGCAAGGGGGCATTTTGTGTCAGTGAGTTTAAGGGAGGTATTTCCACAAGCGTGACTTAGGGCTGTAAACCTGCATTAAGCTGCTCTTGCACAGCCCCACTTCTGTGGAAGGTCCCCAGTACGCCCCGTGTTTGAAATCCAACGCAGAGGTGGTGTTGCCTGCCATGACCAGAGCTACAGCACGTCATTTTTCTGTCATTTTGCTAACGTACACCTTAACTACAACAGCTTCAATTTAAAACACTTACTTATTGCAAATTACCCAAACGCAGGAGTCACCTCATTCCAGGTGTAGAGAATAAAACTTCAGTACTGACTGTGCTCTGTGAAAATTAGTCAGGCCAGAGTTATCCGTAAGACTCCACGGTTGCGCGAAGCATCTGGGGGAAGCTTGGCTCAGCAGCCACTTTTCCACACTTGGGTGCAGAAATATAGGGAGAAGCATACGATACAAAAGGAACAGCAACCCAGTCTTGGGAAACACAAGCCACACAACCACTTCCATCTGGGTTCCATGGGGAATGTGGGCTGATCAGGCCAAACTACCTACACAGCCTGGGCTTCCTCTCATGCAGCTGCTTGTGTGCAGCGGGCAGGAGCTCGAGCTTCCTAGATGCCACCGGCAAAGAGTAAGGAACTGAATGTTAATTTGCAAGAGAACTGTTTAACTCAAAGCAATTCCAGGAAAGAAAAGGTAGCATCAGGTCTCATTCGAACACACGCTTGACCTGCTCCCCGTGCCTCACCTCATGCAGCTAGACAGACATGTGAAATCCTGACCCATCAGAAGCGCTGCCTTCGCATCCAGCCGGGCCAGGACAGACAACACACTGGGACAAATGCTGCTCAGCTGGGTTGCCACTCTCAAGCACAAAACTGAGCACGCCTCGAGAGCTCCCACCTCCTCCTGAAAGAAAGCAGTTACTCCAGCAGGAGGCCGAGCTGCACTGGCTGCAGCTTCCCCAGCCTGAGGCAGAAAAAGAATCCCATTGCACTGCAATCAACACAGGAGTTTGAGTCACCAATTTAATAATTTTATACAAGTCAAACTACACGTTGTATAAAGAGTACAAGGCAGTTCTAATGTTCGCTATTGCATGTTACAAAAAAAAAATCAATTGAGCTATAAAGGGGAATTTTTGGGATGAGTCCTATTCCACAATTTAAGTGAATTGGCAACTGTGGTTTAGCAAAGCCTTTGTTAAGACTAGAACTCTAGCTCAGAGATTACATTTCCAACAAAGTTCAGACTTACACACAATGGGATTATAGCTCTCCTAGTCTGAAGCAGAATGTGAACAGAAGTGAGTCAAGAGGGAGGGAAGACTGCTCGGTTTCCCCAGTTTTCATATCCAATAGGTACAGGAGGCTGACAAACCATACACCACGCTTAATGGCTTGAACCACCCCCAAGAAACACCCAAGCAACTGCCAGCCAAGGGACGCTTGATGTTCAAGCCAAACCCAGAAAGGTCAGAAAGCTTCGTTCCTTCAAGCTTGAAACACGGGATTTTTCGGCAATACTGTGTGACAGAGGTTCCAAAGGACCTTTATTACCTTTAATACAGTCACAGGACTGGGCAAAAAATACAGTCACAGGACTGGGCAAAATGCTCTTTTGGCAAGTTAGGATAAAAGACAAATGCGCCGACTTGAGTTTATTGCTGGTCTAAAAAAATCTTCCTAGTATTGTTACGGGGTTGATACAGTTTGCAGCCTGCTCCCACCGATTACGATAAACCAGGGAACTGTATGACCTGCCCAGCGAGGCAATCCTGCCTTCGCAGCAAGCTCTGTAACCCAGGAAGCTAACAATAGCCTTAGTTCTAAAACCATCAAAAAATAGGGAAAAAAAAGAAGATACTTTCAAAAAAGCCCAGATTTAAGCCTGTTTATATTCAGTTTATTTTTAATATAAAACCCACTTTGCATTTAAGAGTAGTTAAGTTACTCCTGCGGAAATGCTATAAAATCAAACTTTTAGCTGAATTTCTACAAAAGGGGAACTTTCCCTGCTTTGTACCACCATCCGGGCCTCACGGTTTCAAATTCTGGGATACAAATTAAACCCTTTATGCCTCATTACTTGGTTCTTAGGCCATTCACTCCTGCAAGAGAAAAAACCAACTTCTGAAGTACTAACATAACACTAATGGCCTGACAAGTAGGAAAATGTTCCGTCATAGCGTGCAACGCAAGAGGAGAGTTCTAGTCTTAATCTCTTGAACTAGATCTTGATCGTGAGCGAGACTTTGAACGAGACCTGGAGCGGGACCTTGATGCAGCTCTTTTGGGTGGTGACTCTGAACGAGCCTTGGCAGATGGCTGCTGCTGCGGAGAATTGGAACGAGACCTACTCCTTGACCTGGACTTAGACTTAGCATCTCCTTTACCATTTTCTTTGGGAGATCGAGACCGGGACCTGGATCTGGACCGAGACTTCTCCGACTTCTCCTTGGATCTGCTGTGAGAGCGGGAACCCCTGTCAGACTTGGGTTTTGACTTGCTCTTTGATCGAGACTTCCTGCTTTTGGATCTGGAACGTGAGCGGTCTTTGCTTCGTGACCTGGATTTGGATCTTACAAGAATAGACAAGAGTTTATCCTGCATGAACCGAAGCGCACTTCCATAGCTGTGAATATCTACACCAATTAATAAGTAGCAATTCCTGTACAAAGAGAAAACAACGGAACACTTACCGCGAACGGCTTTTGGAGACACTACGGGACCTGCTGCGGCTGCTCCTACTTCTACGACTTCTGCTTCTGGACCGTCTTCTAGATCGTGACCTAGAAACATTTAAAACATAGTTTTCCCCCTTATTCTTTTGCCTGATGTGCCCCACTATGCTATTGAACAGAAAAAAGCTGCTAAAGAACTCATCAAAAAAGAGCACAGCCACGTCAAGACGTACGGATTAATATCCTCCTAGATCTGACAGACTGTCAGTCAATTGCATCCCATCTTTGCTGTATTACATAAAATAATTCCTTCTACTTTCTCAGGCAGAGTCCCATTCCTAGAATAACAACTGAAGGTAACCACTGCAGGTAGGGCCACATTCCTAGAGTAACCAGACCTGATGCAGAGACAGACGCGTCCCTAAAGTTACCTTGACCTGCTGCCAGAGTAAGATCGCCTGTGGCTGGACCGCGGCTTGTCTTCGACCAGCCTGATCTTCCTTCCATTTATCTCTGTGCCATCCAGTTTGTCCAGGGCACGCTTCATGTCTGAGTAAGATCGGAACTCAATCACTCCTTCGTTCGTACGTTCTTTGTGAGCGTCTGCATAGGTGACCTCACCAGCTTGCCTCATGAAATCCTGGAGGGAGAAGATGAATTATGTAACCATGCCGCACACTTACGCTCTGCAAGTACATGAGCTTCTAGACAAGCCTGAGCAAACGCAAGAAGCCTTTACCCCGCGTAAACATGCATGCACAAATACTTCTCGATTACTTCCACCTAAATCAAACCGAACATTGGTATTCAAGGAAGTTATTGCTTCCTGCTAGTCACAACAGGCTCTACGGTAGAAGACACATACATACTTTCAAATCCTGCCAACTACAGCGACTGGAAAGGTTTTCAACAATCAGTCTGTACTCTGTACGAACAGGCGGTCCGTATTTATCTCTTCCAGATTGTCTCCGACTGCTATATCCGCCACCACCCCCACCTTTATTGTACAAAGAAATAAAGTTAGATCATCTCCCACCATGAAGAAAACTAAACGTTCTGAAAAAGTTAGTTAAACAGTTATATTTACTGGAGTAGGACTTTATTTCTCTAAGCCTCCAATAAACTTTGCAATTTTGCCATAATCTATATTAATGGCAAATCAAACAGACTAAAATCCTACAAGTCTGTGCTCCTAAGATCTGTTAGAGAGTGACTGCTCCTTATTAGATTCACCTTGCTAAGTTTTATTTTACAGAACATTGTAAAATATAAAACTTAACTGATTACATGCATTTCTACATTTTACAAAAACGTTTACTAGTTACACTAAGTACTTACATCACAGTATGAGGTTTTTGGTGGTGGTTTGGCCACAAAACACGCAAGGTAACAGTCACCTAGTTCAGTTTAACCAGTTTTGTCTAACCCTTGGAATCCTCACCATCACCCTGCGTCTAATGGCAAAAGGCTGCTGTCGTCATGGCTTCCGGTAAGGTCAGCCAAAGGGTCATAGGGCAAGGGTCACACAATGTATGGAAAAGCCATGGCCAATCAGGAAAGGCAGTCATCTTAGCCTCAGTGGACACAGCCTCAGCCCCACTGGTCACTTTTAAATTGAAACATCAAGGACTTGTTAAAAAGTTTGAATTGAACATGCAACAATTTTAAACAACATACATTTGATTCTTTTTAAAAAGACACAATCCCCACCCCCCCCAAACACCAAGCTCCTAGAAACTACCGCAAGGGCCTTAGTACTTTGAATTACAGTACTAGGCCGGTTAAGTTCTACATAGCTCAGCTCAAGAAGCTACACAAGGTAGCCAAACACAGAAATATTTACAAATATTCCCCCACTTATAACAAGATTCCTGCTTGAAAACCTCCCCCCACCGCCCCGTCTATATATTCGACCGAAACATTCATGTGAAAGTTTTCAGTGCCTCCACCCCAATTATGCAACAGCATTTACTCATTAACGTTAGTGATGCAAAAAAAAAAAATTAAAAAATCACCGTTTCATCTAAACGCTCCCACAAACGCCGGAGCCCTTACATTAGCCGAGCATATTGTTTCTAATTAACCAGAAACCCTTTCTAGAAGGCCGCAAATTGGGCAGCCGGGGTTGCTTCGCCTATTTTCCGCCCTCCTCCTAAATTTCTCAGGGAACAGCACGGTACAACGCTGGTGCCGGGAAAAGCACCCGCAGCGCCCGGCCGGCTCCCAGCCCTGCACCAGCGCCCCCACCCCCTCCCCCAGGACTCG